ACTAAAATGTACCTCTGAGTCATTGTGAGCTGTGTGGTAGGTTGGACATTAGCATTGTTGGTGATGGGACTCAAAAGGAAAAGTCTGTGATCATTTTACCAGGTCACAGACTGTAGCAGATTGTGCTTGTTATCTGACAATGACTGTCACTTTGAGGGTCATTGATTTGCATGCACTACTCTGGGGCCTTGTATTGGAGCCTTTTTAAAAAATAAAATCTGAGATAGAGGTTGGGGTTGTATGTGTCTGTGTGCACGTGTGTTACAAGTGAGAATCATCAGATGACATCCCTTCTCCTTTCTTGATGACAACCATCTGAGTATCAGAAGATAGTTCCAGCTCCTGTGTTGTTTGTCTAGTGAAGTCCTCTGGAAAAAATGAAGGTCACTGGGCTCTGAACAGGGGATAGATATGGGTTCCAGTTCTGCCCTTATCCCCAGATATTCCTGCAGTGCTGGTTAAATGAACAGTTTTACACAAGCATAGTGCAGATCTCTTAATGATCCTATCGTCCCTGTTTCACACTGGAAGAAACTGAGGCTCAGAGACTGAGGAACCTTATGACTGCCATCTGTGCCAGTCACCACCTCTGCATGACCACATTTACATCCATTAGCACTACCAGCATACGTGTGAGGTAGTTACTCAGCTGTTCATCTGACCCCAGACATAGAAAAGTTAAAGAGAGATTAGCCTGGGTTAGGCCACACAGCCAGTTCAGTGGTGGAATGATGGTTTCAGTCCAGATCTGCCTGATTTACTTTGCCCTCAGTAGCAAGTAGCTGGCTCAGGTGGTGGTGGGTGCTCAAGCATTGTGTCAAGCTCAAAGGTGGCAGAAATGGTCAATGGGGAATGAGATTGGATGCTGCCAAGTTGGTTTCTGATAGTGACTTTACCCATATCTTTGAAACTGATACCTCCCTAGGGCCTATGTAGATTCCTAAACCGGGAGAATATTATATGTAGTGCTCACTGTAGGCTAGACTGAGTGCTAAGTATTATGCATGACTTACCTCAGTCTTCCCAACAACCCCAGTTTACAGATGCAGAAATGAGTAAGTAGTAAAGTTAAGCTTGCTTAGGGTTGCACTGCTGGGTTTCCAGCCTAGGTCTGTCTGACTGCAAAACCCAAGCTGCCCTAGATTGTGTTGTACGTGGACACCCATGTTTCTAACATGGAATACGGTGTCTCATCCCTAGCAAGTGCTTCCTGTGGACTTTAAGATGAATAACTTTGGCCTAACTCTTCAGGAAGCCTAGCATAGTTGTAAAAATACTTCAGAAGGCACTTCTGGTTTCAGCTCAGACATGGAGAGTGTGAAAGTTATCCTATCTTTACCACAAGAAAAAGCTGGGCAAACAAAATCAATGGCCTTTCCTGGGCCCTTTAGAGAGCTAAGTTTGCAGGGCAAACTGCCATCCCAAAATCTGGAGAGAGGTGAGTCCAGAGAGTCAGCAAGATCTGATTGCCTGGAGCAGAAGCCACTGGAGCCATACTAGTAGGAAAACGTAAACGGTAATTTTGATGAACTGCTGGAGGTTGAATGTGGACTAGCATGGGAATGAGCAACGCACTTTCCTGGGTTTTACCCTACTAGGTTCTCTTGGTGAAGAGCTGAGAAAGACCCTCTGGTGGCTCTAGCAGGGGATGGGAAGAATCATCTTTGTAATCAGAGTCTTCTCCATAACAAAGCTTATTCCCTGGAGGAAAGCACTTTTCACAGAGACTTATCCCATCTGGAGGAGGGCATGTCTCCCATTCCAGCCCCCTTTGGCTTTCCTGGGTCATTTAAGGGGGTACCAAGGGGAATTGAGAAATATTTATGGGCCAGTGCAGTGGCTCACGCCTGTAATTCTAGCACTTTGGGGTGTCAAGTTGGCCAGATTGCTTGAGCCCAGGAGTTTGTGACCAGTCTGGGCAATATGGTGAAACCTCATCTTTACAAAAAATACAAAAATAAACCATGTGTTGTGGCACATGCCTAGGAGGTAGAGGCTGCAGTGAGCCGTGATTGTGCCACTGTACTGTACTCCAGCCTGGGTGGCAGAGCAAGACACCACCTTAAGAAAAAAAAAAAAAGGAAAGAAAAAATATTTGTGAAGGTCACATCCCAAGGACACGGACCCATTAAAATGCTGAGATTTGGGCCGGGCGCGGTGGCTCAAGCCTGTAATCCCAGCACTTTGGGAGGCCGAGGCGGGTGGATCACGAGGTCAAGAGATCGAGACCATCCTGGCCAACATGGTGAAACCCCATCTCTACTAAAAATACAAAAAATTAGCTGGGCATGGTGGCACGTGCCTGTAATCCCAGCTACTAAGGAGGCTGAGGCAAGAGAATTGCCTGAACCCAGGAGGCGGAGGTTGCGGTGAGCCGAGATCGCACCATTGCACTCCAGCCTGGGTAACAAGAGCGAAACTCCGTCTTAGTAAAAAAATAAAATTAAATTAAATTAAAAAATGCTGAGATTTAATCATAAGATTATACGTAGAATGCTTCACTTCCTCCATGTTTTACCACCACACCACCACGACTCTAGGATAGTAACAGTGAATTATAGCTAGAAGAGATACAAGACACAGACTCTCTAAGGAGAAATATCTAGAGAAGCCCAAAGGCAAGAGGAGATAAACACAAAGACACTAGAGGAACTGGAAGACTCTGACACCTACAACTATAGCAAACATTAAATACAGCTCAACTTTTAGCCAGATTAACATAAGTTCTCATACTAGAGGCTTATTTAACCCAGTTTCTATGGCCCAATATAGTGGATATTCCACCTTCAGCAAAAAAATTATAAGCATGCTAAAAGGCAAGAAAAAAAACTCAACAATTAGATGAAACACACCAAACATCAGAACCACACTCAGATGTTGGAATTATCAGACAATAAATTTAAAATGTGATATGTTAGGGGGATCTAATGGTAAAAGTAAACAACAGACCAGGACAGATGGGTAATGTAAACAGAAACCAAGAATCATTCCAGGTGCAGTGGCTCACACCTGTAATTCCAGCACTTTGGGAGCCTGAGGCAGGCGGATCACTTGAGGTCAGGAGTTTGAGACCAGCCAGGCCAACATGGTGAAACCCTGCATTTACTAAAAATACAAAAATTAGCCAGGCGTGGTGGTGAGTACCTGTAGTCCCAGCTACTTGAGAGGCTGAGGTGGGAGAATCGCTTGAGCCTGGGGAGGTGGAGGTTGGAGTGAGCAGAGATCGAGCCATGCACTCCAGCCTGGGTGACAGTGCTAGACTTTGTCTCAAAACAAAAAACCCTAAGAATCAAAAGGAAGTGCTAGAAGTTAAAACCTTAAATGAAGAATGCCTTCATGGGCTTATTAGTAGACTGTCTATAGCCAAAGAATCAATGAGTTTGAAGACAGGTCAACAGAAACTTACCCACTAAAATGCAAAGAGAACCCTCTGCCACCCTCTTCAGAATATTCAAGAACTATGAGGCAATTTCAGAAGATGTAAAATGCATTTAACTGGAATACTAGAAAGAGAAAAGAGTGAAGAAGAAATATCTGAAGTAATAAATGGCCAAGAACTTTTTTTTTTTAAGATGAGGTTTCACCATGTTGGTCAGGCTGATCTTGAACTCCCGACCTCAGGTGATCTGCCTGCCTTGACCTCCAAAGTGCTTGGATTACAGGTGTGAGCCACCACACCCGCCCAAGAACTTAACTTTTCTTTTTTTTAAAGATGGGGTTTCACCAGGATGGCCAGGCTGGTCTTGAACTTCTGACCTCAGGTGATCCACTCACCTCAGCCTCCCAAAGTGCTAGGATTACAGGCGTGAGAACTTTTCAAAATTAATGACAGACATGAAATCACAGATCCAGGAAGCTTGGAGAACTTTAAGTGGGACAAATACAAAACATCTTTAGCTCTGCATTGTTATATTCTAAACCTGTAAACCAAACACCAAGAGAAAATTGTGAAATAAGCTAGAGGAAAAAGCTGTCATACCTATAAAACATAATTGTAGCTAATTATTTGTTAGAAGCCATGCAAGCAAAAAAAGAGTGAAGTATTTAATAAAAAACCCTAAGAATCAAAAGGAAGGCCTAGAAGTTAAAACCTTAAAAGAAGAATGCCTAAATGGGCTCATTAACTTAGAATTCCAAATTAACACCTATAATTCTAAATCTGGCAAAATTACTCTTCAAATGAGAAGGAGAAATAACTTTCAGATCAAGAGTACTTGATAAAGAGAAATGCATCTCTTCATTTATTTTATTTTATTTTTTTTGAGACAGAGTCTCACTCTGTCACCCAGGCTGGAGTGCAGTGGTGCGATCTCAGCTCACTGCAGCCTCCACTTCCTGGGTTCAACAATCCACCTCATCTCCTGGGTAGGGGGAACCACAGGCGCTGCCACCATGTCTGGCTAATTTTTGTATTTTCAGTAGAGATGGAGTTTTTGCCATGTTGGGCAGACTGGTCCCAAATTCCTGATCTCAAGCCATCCTCCTGCCTCGATCTCCCCAAGGGCTGTGTTTATAGGCCGGAGCCACCGCGCCTGGCAGCAGAAAATGCATCTCATCCATAGTTTATGAGACATTGAGGTCCAGAGCTGTTGAGTGGCTGAACGTAGGAAGGAATTGATCCCAAACTATCTTTTTTCTTTTGCTAAGAAGTTTAAGTCAATGTCAGAAAGTGCAGTTTGAACTCTTTATGTTAAAACTGGAGATGTTCAGAGAGAAAAATGGACTTTAGGTTCAATTGCACGTTTATCAGCTGACTTGGTATCCAAACTCAGCCCTCCTGATTATTTCCTATTGCAATGTCTGACTTTCAGCCTATGTAAAAATATTTTCCTGTGGGTGGGTGGGGGAATGCCCAATTTATAGGACGCGAAAATCTAAACGTTCCAAGGGGAAGGCATCCTAAAGCGAAGATGCACACGGCCGCTCTCGCCGCGCCTAGTCCAAGGCCGTCCGACAAGACTACAAGTCCCAGACTGCTCCGCGGCGCGCGCTGCCCGCCGGGAAGTGTCTCCTGTGCGTCTGCGCGGGAAGTGGAACCCAGCGGCGTGAGGTCCGCGCCGGGTGCTAGGTAATAAATTTCTCGTAGCTGCTCGGCTCGCGGCTAGTGAGGCCGGCCCTGCCACTGTCACCGCCATGCCTATGAAGGGCCGCTTCCCCATCCGCCGTACCCTCCAATACCTTAACCAGGGGAACGTGGTGTTCAAGGACTCCGTGAAGGTCATGACAGTGAATTACAACACGCGCGGGGAGCTGGGCGAGGGCGCCAGGTCAGTAGCAGCCCCGGCGGCCTGGCGAGCCGTAACGTGTTAGTCGTGCTAGCCTGCTGGTAACGTGAGGGAGCCAACGCTGGGCGTCCGTTCAGCCCCGGGGCTGGCCTCCCCTTGTGGCGCCCCATTTTACAGATGTCCAGACTGCCGTGCCGGCTGCAGTCGTGACGAGGTTTTGGGGACAGGACAAGAATTCCCCTGCTAGATCTCCTTCCACTGGCGCGGTGGGCGAGGCTGACCCGAGGGAGGCCACTAGTTCCCTTGGCCCCGGTGGCCAGCAAGGCAAGCGCTGGGGAGGGGCAGCTGCAGATCCTCTGAGGGTGACGGGGGTGACACCCCTGCCCCAGGACGGATCTGAGGATAAAATGAGAGAAAAACAGCGGCAAACACTGATCCTGTCCCGCACAGTTCCGAATGCTTCTCGCGCTTTCTTTCCCTCTTCTGATGCCTACACAAACCCCAGCTTATCCCCACTCTAAGGCTGGGGAAGCGGACGGAGAGGTTAAGTAACTTGAGGCTCCACGAGACACCGTGCCAGCCAGTGAGCGGTGAGCCGGGCTGTGTGGCCCGGAGTAAGTGAAAGTACTTCCTTGGGGACTTAAGGTTTGGAAGGAAGTGATTATGTCAGCTGTGCAGCCTCAGACCCTACTCTGACTCGGGGAACTCCTAGGATGTCTTTCAGCTGGGAGCAGAGTAGGGACTCATTGAATGGCAGCTGGCTAGTGAAAGGTTTTGATTGACCCTGAAGCTGCAGTAAGCAGTCCTTAGGGTCTTCAGGTATGAATTCTACATTTATTGAATACCGTCTGAGTGCTAGGCTGTGCGGTGCGAGTTCATCCGTGATGGGGGAAGACAGCCTTAACCCGCAGAAACTTTGGGACTGGATGTGTGGGATGGATCAAAATGAGACGTGGGGGCGGGGAGCAACTTCTTGTGATGGACCTTCACTGCGTGGCCCTTCAAGAGCTGGAAGCCAGTTCCTAGCCATTTGCTCTGCGCAGGTGAATCTGAGAGCTTAGACCTGCTTGCCTGGAATCAGCTGGCTTGACGGCTTCCTGGAAGACTTGGCCTTGGTCTTAGGGTGAATGGGCACCCAGATACTCCTTCATAACCTGCTGCACAACTGTGCACATCTCTGTCCCAGGGCAACTGCCACGCAGATCATGAGAAGGGGTGGGGGGCTCGGTGGGGCCCTCAGTGAGCTGGAGAACACGTGCCCTGTCCAGAGGGCCCTTCATTGCTTGGCATTGCGGGCTCTGTGGAGAATTTCTGATTTGTCAAGAAGCTGAAATCCAGATTTTTATGTAAATCTCTGGCTTTTAAATGGCCAATCAAAATAAGCCTATGACCCTCTTACTCGCATTCTCAAATATTTTAATATCCTCTAGGTAAATGGGATACAGTCATTCGCTGTTTCTTTGTTCCTGGTGGTAGTGGCTGGCCTGTGCCACCTGTGCCCTCTGTGATCTTGTGCCCGTGGGTTGGAGTCAGCCTGCCTTGCTCTGGCTAGCCGCACTGCTCCCCTAATCCCCAGCCCTTCTTCGTTCATGTGCCCTCAGCACTTCAGTTGCCCCATTGGGCCTGTGACCGGTACTGCAGTCCTGGACCAGCCATTCTTTGGGTACCTGCTGGGGGAAGTGGGAAGCTGCCTTGTTTAGTATCTAAGGGCCAAGTTCCTACTCAACCTCTACCAGGTGTTCTACCCTTAAGAAGTGGCTGCAAGCCTCAGGGTGAATTGGATTGTGACAGAACAGTGTGATCGAAGGCCAGACTAATGAGCCCAGTCAGACCTGGGGCGTTTACTTCTGACCTCAGTTTCCTTAGTTGCAGAACCCCACCTTCCGGGGTTGTTGAGGATTGGAGAGTCAGATGCTTAGCAAAATGTCTGACATATAAAGGCAGTGCTTAACTCAAGGTTCCTGCCATCGTTAACTTTCCTCCTGTGTTTCAGCAAGAACCATTTTAAGATCTCTGTTATATTTCTGTCCTAGTAGTTTACAGTATGGGAAAGTCCTGCCTGGCTATGTCCTGGTTTATTTGTAAAAAGTTCTGTGACATTGGGTTCCTCTGCAGTGGAGTGGAAACTAAACAGGCATCCTAAGCCCTGGAAGGTAAATTCAGCCTTTGAGCTCCCAGACCTGTGTGCTGTGGGGGTCTCCAAGGCCTCCATTCCTCCCCTAGAGGCAGCGGTTTTCAAGGCTTAACTATTTACAGTCTTATACGCATATAGTTAAACAACATCTTCAGAGAGCCACTTTTTTTTTTTTTGAGACAGATCTTGCCCTGTTGCCTAGGCTGGAATGCAGTGGTACAGTCATAGCTCACTGCAACCTCAAACTCCCAGGCTTAAGTGATCCTCCTGCCTCAGCCTCCCAAGTAGCTGGGGCCACAGGCATGTACCACCACGCCCAGATAATTTTTTATTTTTATTTTTATTTTATTTTTATTTTTTATTTATTTATTTTTTTTTGAGACGGAGTTTCGCTCTTAGTTACCCAGGCTGGAGTGCAATGGCGCGATCTCGGCTCACTGCAAACTCCGCCGCCCGGGTTCAGGCAATTCTCCTGCCTCAGCCTCCTGAGTCGCTGGGATTACAGGCACGCGCCACCATGCCCAGCTAATTTTTTGTATTTTTAGTAGAGACGGGGTTTCACCATGTTGACCAGGATGGTCTCGATCTCTTGACCTCGTGATCCACCCGCCTTGGCCTCCCACAGTGCTGGGATTACAGGCTTGAGCCACCGCGCCCGGCAATTTTTTATTTTTTTATAGAGACAGGGTCTCCCTATGTTGCCCAAGCTGGTCTCAATCTCCTGGGCTCAAGCACTTTTCCCGCCTGGGCTTCCCAAAGTGCTGGGATTACAGGTGTGAGCCATTGTACCTGGCTGAGAGCTACTTGTTGATTTTTAGTGTTAGGTGTTATCTGTGGACTTGGCACTACAGAATATGAGAACTTAGCGCTCTCACCACCATTGCTACTTCTCACCCCCAACACCTCCATACTCCTCCTCCCACTCCTCCCAATATTATTCTTCCAAATTTTGTATAGGACAATATTCAGTGTTCAGATTAATATTACTCTGTAAGTGCTATTCACAGTTGAGCCAGATAGAATATTATGGTTATGCATGTTTTTATTTTTATTTTTGCAAGGCCTTTTGTTTTCTTTGGAGTATGAATCAGTGTTCAAATCTTATAAGTTTAAAGGTGTTCCTCCACTCCTAAATTGTAAAAATGTTCCCCCATGTGTAAATAAATCCATTGGTCTCATTATTTTAAAATTGTGGTATCACCTAGATACGCCGCACACCAGTAAGGACACAGCTCCATGAACTGCCACTCGTGTTTATACCTCGTCTTCATGACACAAATCACCACGTAGTGCCTTTCATAGTTCCATTTTCAGTTGTGCTTTTGCACTGGGGTTAGGTTAGCCTGCAGTGCAAGTTGGGATACAGATTTCCTTCCCCTCAAATGCCTGATCAGGGGTCCCCACACCATTCAGTGAATCTCCTAAGAGGATCCCTGCAAGTTGTTTTTCTCAGCTGTTTTGTGGGGTAGGGTCCTCTGAGAATCTGATGAAAGCACTGGACTTTCTCCTTAGAAAAATACCTATGTGTAAAATTTTAGGTTAAAAACTCTGTTTCATAGGTTTCATTTCTTCCCTTTTGCAGGAAATTTGTATTTTTCAACATACCTCAGATTCAATACAAAAATCCTTGGGTGCAGATCATGATGTTTAAGAACATGACACCATCACCCTTTCTGCGTTTCTACTTAGGTGAGTGGGTCCTCCGCCATGGTCCTGGGGCTGTCCCAGACATGCCTGGAGAGACTGCATCCTTCCTGTGGGAGCGTCAGGATGACCTGCAGCACACGCCATTGTGGTGTGTCCATGACCCCTGGCACCTTTGGCTCCCCCATACTGAGGCACACAGCAGCCACTGAGGTCTGGACTCCTCTCCCTCTCTAACCTCATCTCTTCTTGTCCTCTGCCTCACACCATGAGGCTAATTTTTCCAGAGTCCCTTGTCACACCTCAAGTATGTTCCTGGCCTGGAATCCCCTTTCTACCTTTCTTTGCTCATTTAGCTGAAAAAAAAATTCCTTCAAAGCTCAGCATGGGCACCACTTCTAGGAAGCCTTCCCTGCATCCTAGAGTGACCTCCCACACATTCCCAGAACCCCTCTGTCTTAGTGCTGTGTGTGTCCTCTCAGGACTGTGTGCACTTACACGATGCTGTTAATGTTCGGACCAGGTGCTAAGTGATATTTATTCCATTAAGTTAGGCGCCTGCTGGAAACCCAGGAGGGCAGCTAACCTGGCCCAGCTCTCAGACACCTTGATCCTGAGCAAGTAACAGACCCATTTCAAAATTTGTCAACTGAAGGCAAAATGTCTGCCTTACATGGCTATGAGAATCAAATAAAGTGTAGGTTGGGAAATGCTTCAGATAACAAAATGGCCATGATTTTTCATTCATTCCACAAATATGTAACATGTCTCCTAGACCAGGTGCTGGGATGTCAGGAAGCCACACAAAGATTTCTGCTGCCCTCATGGAGATTATTTCCAGCAGAGGGAGACAGAGAATGAACAAGAAATTTAACAAAAGATTAGTGCTGTGGACCTGGTGGTACAGTTGCTTATCCCTGTAATCACAGCACTTGGGGAGGCTGAAGCTGGTGGATCTCTTGAGCTTAGGAGTTTGAGACCAGCATGAGCAACATGGTGAAACCCCATCTCTACAAAAAAAAAAAAAAAAAATAGGTGGCATATGCCTGTGGTCCTAGCTACTTGGGGGGCTGAGGCAGGAGGATTGCTTGAGCCCAGGAGGCAGAGGTTGCAGTGAGCCAAGATTATGCCACTGCACTTCAGCCTGGGCAACAGAGTGAGACCCTGTCTTAAAAAAAAAATAGTGCTGTGAGAAACAGACAACAGGCAAAGTTGGAAGGGTGGTCCTGTGGCAGTTTGTGCATGTGAGCTTTGTTTGTTTTTTAAACCAATTTTATTGAAGTGTAATTTACCTCAGTGTGCTGGTAACGGCACACCCAGGTAGCACGTGCAGCTGGATGGGTTCTGGCTGTTGTTATATACCTGTGCACTTATGTACATGCCCCAAGACACAGAATGCCCCAGCACTGCAGTAAGTTCCTTAGTGCCACTTTCTGGTTAATTTCCCTTCCACGAGAGGCAACCTGTTATGCCTTCTTTCACTATAGATGTGTTTTGTTTTAGAATGTCATGTAACTAGACTCTCATGGTATGTGTTCTCTTATGCCTGTGTCTTTAACTCATGTTTTGAGATTCACCCAGGTTACATGTTTTGTGGTTTTTCCTGTTTTCTGGCTGGGTGGTATTCCATTCTGTGACTGTATTGCCGTGTGTCTGTCCATTCGCCTGTCGATGACCCTCTGGGTTTTTGTAAGATGCTGAGAGAGTTAAAAGTATGGGATTTATGAGAGAGAAGACCTTGAAAGAAATGGGGAGAGTAAGGAGGCCGGGCAGGGAAGGTCGCCAGAACTACAGGTTAGGACGCAGCTCTGGGAGTATTGGCATTCGCCCTGCGTTGGGTACAAAAGGCCAGACCCTAGTCTCCGGACAGGGAGAGCATGGGCTGCCCAGGTGCTGCGCAGATCCCAGCAGTACTCCACAGGGTTGTCAGCTCAGCAGCTCCTCCTGGGTGGTACTTGCTCAACGCTTGACAGGAGGTTTGAGTGGCGGGCCTCTAGGCTGCCAAGGAGAAGGCTACAGCAATGGTCTGCGTAGGCTGCGCAGGTCTTTTCTCTGGACAGAGACATTCAGGCCTCCTGGGGTTATACCTGAGTGCAGCTGCCAGGTCACAGCGCAGCTACATATTTAAGGTTCTCAGGCACTGTCTTTCCAAAGCCATGGTGCCGTGTTGCCCTCCAGTCACAGGGTGCTAGAGTTCCAGCAGCAGTGCCTCCTTGCTTATGCCAGTGTTGTCAGTTGCATTAATATCCCAGGACTGCTGTAACAATTGACCCCAAACTTGGTGGCTTCACATAAATGGATTGTCTTGCAGATCTGTGGGTTAGAAGTCCAGCATGGGCCGGGACCAGTGTCAGCAGAGCCTTCCTTCCTGGAGGCTTGAGGTGAACCCATGTCCTTGTCTTTCCTTGACTCTAGGGCCTGTCCACATTCCTTAGCTTGTGGTCTTGTTCTACCATCTTCAAAGCCAGCCACCTTGCATATGCGGCTGTCCCTCTATCCTTCCACCTCCCTCTGGCCACAGCCTGTCCAGGTGCTCCAGTTTTAAGGACCTATGGGATTAACCTGGGCCCTCTGGATGATCCAGGATCGTCTCTTCATCTCAAGTGTTTTTTTTTTTGAGACGGAGTTTCGCTCTTGTTACCCAGGCTGGAGTGCAATGGCTCGATCTCGGCTCACCGCAACCTCCGCCTCCTGGGTTCAGGCAATTCTCCTGCCTCAGCCTCCTGAGTAGCTGGGATTACAGGCATGCGCCACCATGCCTAGCTGATTTTTTGTATTTTTAGTAGAGACGGGGTTTCACCATGTTGACCAGGATGGTCTCGATCTCTTGACCTCGTGATCCACCCGCCTCGGCCTCCCAAAGTGCTGGGATTACAGGCGTGAGCCACCGCGCCCGGCCTAAGGTCCTTAACTTTAATCACATCTGTTACGTCCCTTTTGCTGTGTAAGGTTCTGGGGGTTAGGATGTGGATATCTCTGGGGACCATTATTCTGTCCACAAATTATCTTTTAAATTGTATCCATTCCATTGGGTGTCTATCTCATTGGAGTTTTAATTTGCATTCCTCCCAAGTATCTTTTCCTGTGCTTATTGGCCACAGATATTTCTTTTATAACAGAGTCTGTTTGAATCTATTTTCCATTTAAAAAAAAACCGGGCTGCTTTCTTACCGAGTTCTTTATTTGTTCTGGGTGCATTTCCTTTGTCAGAGATAATTTCTTGTGACTGTTTTCTCTCAGTCTGTGGCCTGCTTTTCATTTTCTTGGTGGTGTCTTTTGAAGAGCAGAAATTTTAATTTTGATGAATTCAGTTTATCAATTGTTTTCTTTTTTTAAACATGGGGTCTCACTGTTGCTGAGGCTGAGTGCAGGTGCCTTCTATCCTAAATTCACTTATTTCCATTAGTTTTTATTTTGTAGATTCCTCAGGATTTTCTACAGGCACTGTAATAATATCTGCAAATAAAGACAGTTGCACTTCTTTCCAATCTTTATTTTGTCTTATCTCACTGGCTAAAGTGGCAGTAAGTTTGCATTTCTACCAGCAACGTATGGGTTTCAGTTACCCTGCATCCTCATTAGCACTTGGTATTGTCTGTGCTTATAAAATTTTGGCCATTTGCTTATCTCGTTGTGGTTTGAATTTGCGTTTTCCTAGTGACTCATTGAGATCTCATCATTTCATGTGCTTCTTATTCACCCTTTAAAAAATTTTAGTTAAATGTTTATTCAGTAATATGGTTTGGATCTGTGTCTCCGCTCAAATCTCATGTTCAGTTGTAATTCCCAATGTTGAGGTAGGGTGTGGTGGGCCTGGTCCAGTCACCATGGGGGCAGTTTCTCATGAATGGTTTAGCCCCATCTCCTTTGGTACTGTGGTTGTGATGGTGAGTTCTCTTGAGATCTGGCTGTTTAAAAGTGTGGTACCTCCCCCTTCTCTCTCTCGCTCCTGATCCCACCATGTGAGACTCCTTCCTCCCCCTTTGCCTTCTGCCATGATTGGAAGCTTCCTGAGGCCTCCCCAGAAGCAGATGCTGTTGTGTTTCCTGTACAGCCTGCTGAACCATGAGCCAATTAAGCCTCTTTTCTCTATAAATTACCCAGCCTCAGGTAGTTCTTTATAGCAATGCGAGAATGTACTAATACATTCAGATACTTTGCCCATTTTATTAGTTGGATTGTTGTATTGTGTTGTGAGAGTTTTTTAATATATTCTGGATACAAGTCATTTATCAGATATATGCATTATAAATATTTTCTCCCAGACCGTGGGTTATGGTGTCTTCTGAACTGCAAAAGTTTTTGATTTTCAATTTATACTTTTTTTCTGTTATGGATTATGTTGTTAATGTTATCTCTAAAATACATTTGCCTAGGTAAGATCATGACAGTTTTCTCCCATGTTCTCTTCTAGAAGTTTTATTAGAGTTTCAGTGCTACATTTAGGTCTTGGACCCATTTTGAGTTTTAATTAAAAAAATTTTTATGTTGTGGCGTAAAAGTCTAAATTCACTTGTTAGCATATAGATAGCCAGTTGTCCCAGCACTGTTTGTTGAAAAGATTATCTTTGTTCATTGAATCATCTTGGTATCTTTGCTGAAAAGCAGTTGGGCTTACAAATAAGGGTTTATTTCTGGACTCAGTTTTGTTCCATTACAGTGTATGTCTATTCTTATACCACACTGTCTTGATTACAGTAGTTTCAGTTTTTCAAAATTGAAAAACAATTCTCGTTTTTCAGAATTGTTGTGGTTCTTTTGGGTCGTTTGCATTTCCGTATGAATTATAGGCTTAACTTCTAAATTTCTACAAAAACACCTTCTGGGATTTTGATAGGGATTGGATTGATTGAATCTGTGTACATCAGTTTGGGGAGAATTGCCATCTTAAGAATATTCAGTCTTTCTATCTATGAACATGGAATGTCTTTCTATTAAAATAGCATGCTTTTTTAACATACCTAGAGTTTATACTTGCTCAGGTCTAAAGAAATATGGAGAAAGGAAGGGTGGGATTATGGATCATATGAACAAATATATCTATCTTATTAAAATGTTTCTGCCACTAAAATTAAGTCCCACATTACAAGTTTTTGAGTCCCAGTGTGCTGTGCGTTCTGCTTCTTTTCTGCCCTGTGTTTTCTGTTTCCAGATTCTGGGGAGCAGGTCCTGGTGGATGTGGAGACCAAGAGCAATAAGGAGATCATGGAGCACATTAGAAAAATTTTGGGGAAAACTGAGTGAGTTGTTTGGTTTGACCTGGAAGGAGCAAACTTCTGAGCCCAGAGAATTTGAGAAAGAAAGGGTGGGAAGGGTGTTGAGAGGTAAGATTCTCTAACAGTGAACCCCAGACACTAACAAGAGCTGGGGCTGCTCACCAAATCACTAAACCTCTGTAAGCTTTATCTCTCTTGGCTGTACAGTGTGAGAAGCACCTCTCTCCCTCCTATGGGGACGGGAAGCTGAAACGCAGCTGCTAACCCGTCTCCTGGGAATTTCAGCTTGGAGCTAGCAGATATCTAGCCCCAGGACTCCTGGGACAGGTCTTTCTTTCCATGAATGAGAAGAGACAGAAAGGGAGGGAAGCCAAAAAAGTCTGTCTTTGAGAAACTGCACAGAGGCCTTTTCAGGCTCCTTTTTCCTGTGATTGTTCGTCAGAGCTGTGGGCCCCGCTGTGGCAGCAGATAGGCTGACTACACTGTGTAGGCTTGCTCCAGTGGTCTGAGGGGACAACAAACAGCAGGCCTTCCTGCACTCCTCTCCTCAGGGGCCAGCAGGGAGGGAGGGATAGGCTTTGGGAGTGAGGAGCAGGTTAGAAGGCAGGAGATCCAGGTGTCCCTGCAGGATGGTGGGGCTGTCTTGGCTGAGAAACGGCCCCTGTGCCTGGTGCTGAGTCACCAGTGCTTGGTTGACATCTATGCTCTTTGGCAGGGAAACGCTCAGGGAAGAGGAGGAGGAGAAAAAGCAGCTCTCTCACCCAGCCAACTTCGGCCCTCGAAAGTACTGCCTGCGGGAGTGCATCTGTGAAGTGGAAGGGCAGGTGCCCTGCCCCAGACTGGTGCCATTACCCAAGGAGATGACAGGGAAGTACAAAGCCGCCCTGAAAGCCAATGCCCAGGACTAAGGCCCATGGTCACTGTGGGCTTGGGTGATGGTGTCTGACCATGGGGAGATTGGAATGGGGTTACTTTGGCCCAGGGAAGCCTGTGGTTCTGTGTCTGGAGACTCTGGAAATCCTTTTTGCAATAAAAGGTCCCCTTTACACACCTGTGTAAAAGAATGTGGGGAGAGGAGGGTCTGCAGCTGAGCTGCTAAATGAATATCCATGCTCCACTGGTCAATAAAATGCTTCCTAATAGCAGCTTGGTGTGTATCCGGTCCTAGGCAAGAGGAAGGCCTACGTAGTGGAAAGGCTTTGGGCCTGGGAGGTTAAGGCCCCACCTTATTGACACCTGTTTTGGTCCTGCGACCCTTCACTGGTCTTTGCTGACCATAAATCTTCTCTGGGCCCTACTCTGGAGAACATAAGGGCTGCTATGGTTGAGTCTGGCTAGCGCTATCTGTGGTTGGCAGTGTGGACGCTGCTCCATTCAGGTCGTTGGGGTATTTTTCAGAAATCCAAAGGCAACCCTTCGTGCGCTGCTTTTTAAAGTTGATGATTCTTGCCTGCTGGGGGGCCTAGCCATGGGCCAGAGATGGAGGAGCCCCAGGGGCTGACAGGCCAGCCTTACTCAGGCACATGCTCACTGGCCAGTCAGCCACTACCAGCCCGTGGCCCAGCCACTGTGTGTATTAGCAGGGAGGTTTGTAGGCCCTTTTCCACGGAGGAAAGGAGACACCACCTGGTGGAGACTTTGAGGCCTTGCTGGGGTATGGTGCCTGCAGCTGGCTGCCTGGATCTGCTGGCTACCTCAGGCCCTGCTTACACCAAGCTCTGGAGGAGGGAGTGATGCATTATTGAGTGCCTTCCTAGTTCTTTCCTCCTAAGACACTGATGTTACTATCACTTTAGTTATGCTAAGGTGGAGGTTTCAGCCTCCAGAAGACAGTAGAGCCCTCTAGGGTCACCTTAAGAACAGATTTAGCTAGGCTGGGTGTGGTGGCTCATGCCTGTAATCCCAACACTTTGGGAGGCTGATGTGGGCAGATCATTTGAGCCCAGGAGTTTAAAACCGGCCTGGGCAATGTGGCAAGACCTTGTCCCTACAAAAAATACAAAAGTTAGCTGGGTGTGGTGTTATGCATCTGTAGTCCCAGCTATTTGGGAGGCTGAGGTGGGAGGATCTCTTGAGCCTGGGAGGTTGAGGGTATAGTGAGTCATGGCCGTGCCACTGCACTCCAGCCTGGGCCACAGAGCAAGACTGACTCAAGAAAAAAAAATTTTAAGGCTGGGCGCATTGGCTCACGCCTGTAATCCCTGAACTTTAGGAGGCCGAGGTGGGCAGATATCACGAGGTCAGGAGATTGAGACCATCCTGGCTAACACGGTGTAACCTGTCTCTACTAAAAATACAAAAAATTAGCCAGGCATGGTGGCACGTGCCTGTGGTCCCAGCTACTCGGGAGGTTGAGGCAGGAGAATCACTTGAACCTGGGAGGCGGAGGTTGCAGTCAGTAGAGATCGTGCCACTGCAGTCCAATGTGGGTGACAGCAAGACTGTCTAAAAAAAAAAAAAAATTTTAAATAGGTTTAATTATAAAGTGAAGGACCAGTTGGATCATGGACCCCTAGAAACTCAGCCAAGGAGACTTGACTTTATCTGATACAGGCAGGCAGTGGTTAAAATAATTAAAAAAGGATGGTGGTGATTGGAAGAGCAGGACTGAAATTTTCATTCCTCTACCTACTGGGGCCTTGACCAAGTCTTAAATAAGCTTTCTGGGTCTGTAACTGAAACTGTAAAATGGGGAAAAGGCTGCCTTTTTTGCCACATGAAGTAGCTGGCTGGTGAAATGTCACACTACAATGTGTTTCATTAACTGTTGGAGATTATCACGTTAAATTGAGCCCATTTGGATCTTTTACATTTGATGCTCAAGTTTGATTTTGTACCAGACCTGTGTTTGGGGTGATGGCCTGTGGGGGGTGGGAGGGGATGGTGGGCAGGAGTCTGATGTATAACGGACAGATGTTCCTTGAGTGACTACAGACTTCTGAAGGGGGTGTTTAATTGAAATCTAGCGGCTTGTCTCTCTGCCATCAGCATTTTGGAGGGTGGGCGGACAAAAGCTCTCTCTGAGAGCCCTCCTGCTGCTGGTTTCAGTTTCCCACCCAACTTGACTGCAGTCTTGACCTTGACACCAGCTGCCTGGGCTTTCTACTTGGCTGCAAGGGCTCTTCAGAAGGCACCTAGTTCCTTTTGGTCTTTATCTGCACTTTAGGTCTCCATAGCTTGTGACACAGAAAGCCTTCCTCTAACACCCAAAGAGGCTGCTAACCAGCAGGAACGTCCTAAGCCAAGAGTGGTGACCTCTCTCTAGACAGAATAAATGTCTAGTCCCTAATGGGACAGAAAACTAGGGTTTGAGTTCAGGCTTGACACAGGAGTGATGGGTGTAAGGTGGACAGCCCAGACCCTGAAGGGATGTGTGTGGAGGCAGCAGCCATTCTTGTGGTGCAGTTACTTACTGCTTGTGTGGCTGGCTTCACGGGCAGCAGATAATTTGTGGAAATAAACACCATTTTCTTTCTTTTTTTTTTTTTGAAAGCGAAGGATGGGGTTTACTCCGTACAGCAAGGACATTTTTAAGATGAAAATGCAAAGTTGGGGATTTCAGACTAAAATTTTCTTTGAGAAAGGTCTGTGAATGATATGAATTGTTAGGATAGAATAGTGTCAATGCGGCAAATTTCCTTACTCTCTGTGAACAGCATGGAAGGAG